TATTCAGAAAGTATTACAAAAAAAAAGAAACATGATCTTGGCAAAATAGTGAAATTCAATTCAAAAGTTTGCAAAGTTGATACCTAATTGAGTAACAGTATATTAAACTTAAGTAAGCTTCGGACTGACATGATCCTCTCTCCTCAACCCAAAAATAAACCTGATGCACGAATTTTGAATTTTTTGCAATTTGTATTTAAAAGTTTGATCTAGAAATGGTACAAAAACAATATCACAGTAACTGCAGTTTGAAAGAACCAGCGACTCACACAAATGTTTTTTTAGGTCCCTATTTAAAATTAATCTATTCTTATATAGGTTTCGTAGCGACATATAACATTTTTTAACAACCTTATTGACATGCGTTCTAAACCTCAAGTTTTGATCCAAAACAACTCCTAAATTTTTATATTCTTCGACCACCCCTATCTCCACACTATTCATGACAGCATGAACATTATGTGATGCCTCATGGCGATTGACTCCAAAATACATAGTAGCCGACTTATTCGGATTTATTTTTAAACCGTTATTTAAGGAATATGTAGACCGAGTCTAATAATTGATTTATTTTAATTTCCATGTCAGCAGGCGGAACTTTTGGGAAACTGGTATATATTTGTGTATCATCGGCATACTGATGTAATCCAAAATGATCCAGATAATTACTCATGTCCATAGTAAATATGACAAAGAGAAGCGGTCCAAGAATAGAACCTTGCGGTACTCCTTTCCGTAGGATCATAGGTTGCGATAATTTATCATCCACCCTCACTACTTGCGTTCTGTCAGAAAGGTAACTATTAATAAAGGAAACAGCCTTCTCACAAAATCCATAAAACGACAATATCCCACAAAGCAACTCGTGATCAAGCACATCAAAGGCTTTACTATAGTCCAAGAGCATCAGGGCAGTGGTTTCACCTTTGTCAATGTTACACACTAAATCATCTAGTACCTTTACTAGTGCTGAGGTGGTGCTATGACCTTTACGAAATCCAGATTGACATAATGGCAATAGCTTTTTTTTATTCAAATAGGAAGTAATTTGAACAAACAAGGCTTTCTCGAAAATTTTCGATAGTACAGAGAGCAAACTAATAGGTCTCAGTTCGGCCAAACTTTCCGGGTTGGTTGTTTTAGGATACGGCAAGACCATAGCATCTTTCCACTGTGCTAGAAAAATGTTTTTTTCGATACAACTATTATAAATATGAAGGAGAACAGGGACAATAGTTTTAAAACATAGTTTGATCATGTCTAAACTTGGTCCAACACAGAAGCATTTAACTTTAATTTCTTAAGTGCATGGAGTATATCAGCTTCATTTAGTAGTGAGAACTCAAAACAGTTATTTGTAGCCTTCTCGTTTTTATATCTATTCAATGTTTGTGGGTTGACTGGGGGACATATGTTATGAATTGAGTCTGTAAAAAAATTATTAATTTTATCAGCGTTTTTTAGGTGACTAGGGATGTCTACACTACCCGTTTTTCCTTTGTAAATATTCATTTCACTAAGAGTATTCCAAATTTTCTTTTTGTTATGACGCCTGTTCATATGGTTTCACCCGTTTATAGTCCTCCCTATGGTGAACTTCTCTTGATTTCTTATACTTAGATAAAAGCCTATTGCGATATTGCTTCAGTAACTTTAGACTTTCGGTAAGCCTTGGGTTTAGTAACCCGAATAGTTCGTAGCGGTGCATGATGGTTAAAGAGTTGTAGGATTTCATTGGTTAAACACTGTACTTTATCCTCTATACTATTCTGGAAAAATATATTATTAAAGTTAAAATTATGCAAGTCAACTCAAATTTTTCCTTATCAAAACTTTTAAAGTCTCTGAAAGTAATGTATTTAGGAGTTAACCCTGAAATCAAGATATTAAGGTCACAGACCAAGAGCTGATGGTATGTAACATTATGCATATCAATGTGTCTCACAGTACCCGACAACAATTCATTGTCAGACAGTATAATCACATCAAGTAAGCTGGCTGAATCTGCTGAGAATCTCGTTGGTTCTAATACTACTTGAGTAAAGTTAAAAGCAGCTAAAAACGTGTCAAAAGACTCGGTCATTTTATTATGCTTTACTAAATTTATATTTAAATCACCCATTATTAATAATTCGTCACAAAGAGGTATCATATCAGACACAGAGCTCTCCAGAATATTAAGTGAGTCAAGGGAGTTAAAACGCGGAGGTCTGTAAAAAATCCCAATACCCAAAACGACAGAGTTCATTTTTATTGTAGCCCAGATTTGTTCCAAGTATTCATTTTCGGCTCCATAATCAATCAAAGTTACATTCAAGGTATTTCTTACGTAAAAACCAACCCCTCCTCCCCGTTCCTTCCGATCAACCCTAAAAAAGTTAAAACCATCAATCTTAACCTGCGATTCATGTACCCTTCCAGTAAGACACGTTTCAGACATTCCCAAAAAATCCAATTGATTATCAGTTAAAATGTCCTTTATTTTATCCATGCTTGAAAGTAGCGATCGTATATTTACATGTCCCACCCTAAAACATCTATTTTTTATTTGCATGTTAGCCATTGTAAAAATAAATTGTACCTTCGCAATAAAAATAACAAATAAAAGTGATTTTAAAGAGAAAGCATTCAAACCTACAAACTACTGAGATCTTGCTCATTCCTTATAGATTTATAAATAAACAATGAAGAAAACGAGATTACAAAAACGTTATCGAGCTGTGCTCAAACATTTCCACAAATTAATATTTGTTATCTATATTAGTTTGTCTGTATCGGCTTTGTGAATATTTACTCAATTGGTTAGATAGGTAAGTTGATATACATCACATATCAATTATGCACGTGGTATATTTATATCCCCAGTTTAACATTCATTTACATGACGGTGAGAAACTTGTAAAAATGGTTTACTAATATACACGTATTTGGGAAAAACTAAAATTTGGCCAAATCATTTTTATTTATTTTTTTTTCCTTTATTTTAATAAATATTCAAAAATTCGGAAACTTTTCTATTGGCACCTTTTAGGCACTACATGACGGTGTTTTTGAATTTTATGCCCAGGGTTCTTTTTTGAGAAACCATCATCAACTTTATTGTTTATATGGTCCGAAGAAAAGTACACCCTGCATCTTATAACATTTTTTTATTCGAATTCAAGGATGATCACATGTAACATTTATTTTCTTGGTTATAAGGAAAAATGCGCTTTTTCTGTTTTTTTTTTCAATTGGGCGTTGCAAACAAATGCTTGACTTGATGTAAATACCAGTCACCAAATGTGTATTGTTAATATTGCTTTATTATCGTCAAATATTAAGGCAAAGTTCGACATGCTGACGTGCTTCATTTTGGGCTACAAAAATACTAAAAACAAAACCAATTTGTCATTTGTCAAAGATTGGTAGAGTAATTTTCAAAATCGATGCTATGTTTATTTTCAACTTCATATGAGCACAAAGCAGTAAGTAGATGCTTCATACTCGTATCCTATTTGTGTTCGTAAATTCTCTTACTGGCTTTGTGTATCATCCGACACCACTGGTAAGACAAATAGGTCGAAACAAACTCTGTAATGTACACCACCCCAGCACACATTATACAACATTAAAATCAGTCTTTTCACGGACATGGCAGCTCTTTTGTTGACCGTCTCTGACAAAATTAATGTCACCCGGTGTTGACTGACTATTGTATCAGGGGAGGAAAAGGTGGTGAGGGTGTATATGGAAACACGTGATATTATATTAATACGGTCAAGTAGGTTACCAGTCAAACGAATGAAGAAGAAACAAATTCGGTTCATCAAGTTGGGAGCTCCTTGAACAAATTACAGCTATTACAGACAAATATACATATGCACACGTTGAATCTATTGTAACACCTTTTATTTTTGATTAGGGGCTAAAAGGATTAGGAATCAGTACTAAATCAGACATAAAATAAACCGCCGTTAGGACCGATCCGAAATCAAGCCTAAACAGATTCGACACAATTCACAATTGAAAAATGTGTACGCTCAAAATAAAACCATTATTTGGGCGTAGAGAAGAAACTAATGCATATTTTCAATATGCATCTTAATTCAAGGAAGTGATGTAACATATTGGCAACGCGGCAGATCGCCGCGTCAGCGTTGCTAGGCAATGAGTGATGAGCTTCGCTATCCAGCCGGCTTCTATCTCTTTCTAACATATGTGTCTATACACACTTCTTCTTGTACACAATGAGCCTTCAGACAAATTTGGTTTTCAATGTATATGATTAGATTCTTATCACGGACACCACCAAAAAAGTATGTAGGACTTATGCATTTTGAATAACCTAGATTTCTGAACACACCAATTCATTCGGTCCAACCGTTGAGAAAATATGTATCTACAGGTCTGAAAAAAGTATACAAAATGTCTCGAAAAATATGTTTCCTAGAGGAAAATACTGTTTGATAAAGTTGTGAGGCTTGAAAAGGGTCATCTAATAGTAACCTAGAATGTGACCTTGACCACTGTTTTGGAGGTCAGTTGAAGGTCAAAAGACTTTTCTTAAGCGGAAACCCATATTTTTCTTTCGACATAATCAACACACAATATGGTAGATGTCCCTGCCGACTTCCTCTATAAATGAGGTAAAGTTCCATCCCCAGTGTGAATGTGGAGCTAGCAACCAAACCATGCATCACATAACAACTGCACTGAGAAAACGTGGTCAATTAAACAGATGTCCTGGAAAATTTTTATCAACGGTAACATTTTTTTTTGATTACTTCAAGTTACTAAATCTTTTGGTTTAATTACACCGGCTTTTCTGGAAGCAGTTTAATTGGAAGTAATATAAGTTATGGTATCCTGTTGGTAACATAACTATGTGGTACAAGCCCATTATTCCAACAAATTAAATTGTATGGCAAGCAAGCCCATTAAGAAATATTTGCTTTTTACTTCTTTTTTTTTCGATACAGCTCTGTTATTTTTCCTATAAATACTAGAATTATATCGAGGCACAGACAGATTTTGTTCAATACTTGTAACTACTCTTCGTTCCTGCAATAAAGTCTGTTATTTTTTTACCATACGACGTGTGCATTCTTTATCTGGCGCTGCGAACAGGATCGTTATACGCCTTCGTGGAAAACATCTGGAAGTTTGTTCGAGCCCAGCCAACCATCAGTAAAATCTTCGAGATTCATCAGGTGAGCTGAACTACGTCCCTTCTGTGTGACCAACCATTGTGAGGTAGGAAGTATCCACTTCCGTAAGAGAAACGATCTGAGAACCTGAGAGCCACGTCCGAGGTCCCTGCAGAACGACCCTAGAGAAACAGAGAGCTACAAGAACCAGAGCAGTCTCCGTTATGAAAAATTTGATTTTTCACATAACGCTAGAGTAAGCCAAATCCATTTTATCTATTTAGTCAAAGAAACTTTTGGTAAATCTCCAGTACGAGAACGATCACCCATTAGAAGACCAACCAGTAAAAAAACAAGCTAACGTTAGAGAGGAATTCAGAACAACCATGGCTGACAATCCACAAATTTTATTTAACCTATTGAAAGATAGTGTGCCTATTTTTTCTGAAACATCAAATAATTTATCTGTATATTTACGTAAATCTAGAGAATTTGCTTTGCATGGCCCATATCAAGTTCATGCTTTATCGTACGTAAAATCCAAACTACAAGGAGAACCTTCTGTTATCGTTGAACGAAATAATCCTCAAACTTGGCAAGAATTTGAAGTAATTCTCAAAGAACGTTACAAAGATTCAAAATCCGAATTAATGCTACTTGATGAACTTAGAAATTTATCCCAGTACACAGACTATATGAATTTTCATACTGAAATTTTGCAAAAATTACATATTCTTAGAGAATATGCTCTTTTGGAATTTTCTGATGTTGTTGCTCAATCTAGAGTCGACCTTTACACAGAAGCTGCATTAAATTCATTTGTAACTGGTATTAAAGAACCATATAAATCACTCCTATTTAACGCAACACCTACAACTCTTCAAGCTGCCTTACAAATTTGTCGAAAATACGATAATTTACAAATACAATCGCAATGCAAAGTATTTACTAAACAAAATGCCAAAAATACTAACGCCATTCAAAAACCGAAACCTACAAATACCGTTCAAAATACACCTATGTGGCGATTCCCTTCAAACCAACAATTTTACAATCCGCAATTTTACCAACAGCCACAACGATCTAACTTCCCAACTGGCCCGATTAACATCAGACCAAATTATTTTAATAATCAATTTCAAAGACCAATTCAACCACGACAGCCTAATTTCTATCCACAAAATAGACAAGATCCACCAAAAAACTTTAAACCGACACCCATGTCTACATCAACTATTACGAACCGCCCCTCGCAACAACAGAATCAATACCGTCCTAACTTTTTCTCAAATCACGGACAAAGACCAAATTTTATCGCTGAAGAACTAACCAACACCGAAGCGACCGAACAATCACAAAACGAACAAGAATACGATGAACAGCAATACTATGATCCAAATTATGAAAATTATGACCAACAAGAATATGAAAACTCAGATAGTAACCCTACTGTCGAGTTTCCCCCTGAAGAGACAGCTCAAAATTTTCCGAAAGCCCCAAATCAAAACCCATTGACTTAGATCTCAATAATTATGAGCACACATTTGCCATACATTTATTTACAAAATTTAGATTTGCTAGTTCTTATAGACACTGGTGCATCTGTCTCTTTGATCAACACTCAAATTGCTTTCAATTATTTTCCAGATTACATTTATCCAAAACACTTTTCAATAAAATCTGTCATTGGTACTAAACACGGTGAATACGATTTGCGACTTCCTTTGTTCAATGAACATGGCATTAACACTGAAATTGAATTTCTCATTTTAGACTGGCACGAACGTTTTGACTGTTTGCTAGGATATTATGATCTACAAAAATTTCAAGCTACTTTACAAACATCTAAGAATTTGCTATCCATTGATCGTTTAAACTTTATTTGCCACACTGACAAAATACCACGTAAAGTCCCGAACACTGTTATCAAAAATCAAGTTCTAAAATCCCCTATCAAAAATGGACAAATTATCGTTCCACCTATTAAATATCTAAATTCTAACGATTACACACCCGAAATGATTTGTACCGTTAATAATTACGAAGTACTATACCCAGAAAATCCAAATCTATTAGATTTAAACTATCAATGCATCAAATACGACAATTTGGATAATTACGACATTGAAACACCCCAGAATGAATATAATTTAACTGATATTGGAAATTTAATAAGAACTGATCACATGAATGACGAGGAAAAATACAAGATAACAGAACTTTGTAGAAAATTTCCTGAAGCTTTTCTAAAACCTAACGAAAAATTAGAGCCATCTACCGTAACATCTCATTCTATCAGAACAAAACACGACGACCCAATATTTGTAAAATCTTTTCGCTATCCAGTCTATGTAAAAACCGAAATCCAGAAACAAGTCGCTAAACTTTTGCAAGATGACATCATCCGTCCCAGTACAAGTTCGTACTCATCACCTGTATGGATCATAAATAAGAAGCCTGACGCTTCCGGCGTTAAAAAATATCGCATGGTAATCGATTTTCGTAAACTAAATGACATTACTATCGAAGATAAATATCCTTTGTCCCGAACTGAAGAAATATTAGAGAGTTTAGGCAAAGCCAAATATTTTTCAACGTTAGATCTGGCACAAGGATTCCATCAGATTCCTATGCACAAAGACTCAATTGAAAAGGCTGCCTTCACCGTCGACAACGGGCACTATGAATACTTACGAATGCCCTTCGGACTGAAAAACGCTCCAGCAACATTCCAAAGAATGATGAATTTTGTTTTAAAACCTTACATCGGAAAAATATGTTTCGTCTATTTAGATGACATAATAATTTTCTCAAAATCATTGCAAGACCACCTTATTCATTTGAAATCTATATTTCAAGCTTTAATTAAACATCAATTGAAAATACAACTTGACAAAACAGAGTTCCTAAGAACAGACGTTCCATTTCTGGGACATGTAATAACGCCAAACGGAATTAAACCAACTCCGGATAAAATCAGATGCATTCAAGATTTTCCAATACCAAAAACTATCAAACAAATTCAATCATTTTTAGGATTAACCAACTATTACAGAAAATTCATTAAAGACTTTGCCAAAATTACCAAACCTTTCACTAAATGTTTAAAGAAAGACGAGAAAATCAACATTTCAGATCCTGATTACATTCAAGCTTTTGATGTAATAAGAAAGACTATCACTAATTCACCCGTACTCCAATATCCTGATTTTTCAAAAACGTTCACGTTAACAACCGACGCCTCAAATATTGCGATAGGAAGTGTTCTATCACAAGACGGAAGACCTATCAGTTTTCATTCAAGAACATTAAACTCTGCTGAACGAAATTATTCCACCATTGAAAAAGAACTCTTAGCCATTATTGATTCATGCAAACACTTTAGACCATATTTATTTGGTCATAGGTTTCTGATTGAGACTGATCATAAACCTTTGGTGTGGTTATCAAATTTGAAAGAACCAAACCAGAGATTAATTAGATGGAAAATCAAACTTGAGGAATACGATTTCGAAATCAAATACAAAAAAGGCAAAACAAATTTAGTTGCTGACGCCTTAAGCCGAATCCAGATAAATGTTCAGGATTATCTCGAAACCGAATCAATGATCCCTAACGCACCCGAATCAGAAATGACTATTCACGAAACAGACAACAGATCAACTAACACGAGACACACTTCGCCTGAATCAAACCCAAACTCGATTCAATTTTCAGACAAAAACTTTTATGCCTATTCACACCGAATTGAATTTATAACAGGTAAAAAGAGAAACAAGATCAAATTACTTCCGAATAAGACACTAAGGTGCTCTTTAATTAATCACTTATGTTCCTCATTTATTTTGGATTGTATAAAAAATTATTGTACCCCTGGTATTAAATACGGAATTTGGTACGACGATCAGAAACTTTTGCCCATACTTAGTAAAATTATGACACAATCTTTTTCTGCAAAACATATTGTACTAGAAAAAGCTGCATTTAAACCAATTTATTTAGACAAACAAGAAATGAAAGACGAAATAACTTTGTACCATCATAAATTTCACAACGGAATTAATGAAACTTATTCTCATTTCCAAAAGACTCACTATACACCAAAACTTAAAGACCTTATAACTCACATCATTAATAAATTCGAAATCTGTTTAAAAGCTAAATACGAACGAAAACCTTACAAAGAACCAATCCAAGGCCCATTTTTCAGTAACAAACCATTCCAACTAGTGTTCAGAGATATTTTTACTATTGAAAATACTAAATATGTAACTTTTATAGACCACTTTAGTCGATATGCCCAAGCCTATCAGATCATGTCACGAAATCACGTTGACATACTATCTAAAATGAAACATTTCTTTTCACATCATGGATTTCCAAAATCACTTCATGCCGATTATGGAGAATTACGTTCAGAAGTTATTAAAGATTATTGTAAAGCTCATGAAATACATTTGCACTTAGGAAGCACCAGCAATCCTAGTTCTATTGCACCAATTGAACGATTACATAGTACCATTGGAGAAAAATTTCGAATCCTAAGACAGACTCGAAAAACAGACACTACTACTGACCTAATGACTGACGTTATATTAAATTACAATCAATCTGTTCATTCTACTACAAAACATACACCTTTTGATTTTTATACGGCAGTACTGAAGACCCTTATTCACCACATCTTAAACAAATATTAGAAAAAGACAAAATTAATGAACAAATCGCTCACGATTCTTATAATCAATTAAAAAAACAAACTAACAAAATTAACGAAAAACGCGTATCTAAGATCCCCGTTTTAAAATCTCCGATCTATATCAAAATCCCAATCAGACAAACTAAGGACAAACCAAAATATCAAAAACACACTATTTTCAAACAACAAGGAAATCAAATTTTAATCAAAGATAGAAAACACATGCTGAGACGAATCAAGCCTCAACGTAAAAATCCTTTACAGAGCTCTACCAGTCCAATGCCTACCAATTCGAGCGCTACTGATGAACCCTCTGCTCAAAGCACCTCCGGTAATCAAACTGCCGCTAGGAAATTCAAGATTAATCGAAAATCGTCATAAAACTCAATTCCTTATTAATTTAAATTATACAGGGTGACTTCGAAGTTGAGTCATTTATTTTAACAGTGAGTAGATCTGATCAAAAGAAATGTTTTTTTCCTTTACCATTTTTTCTGGTAAAATTAAAGTAACCAAGTTATAGCCCTTTGGAAGTTTGAGTACCGCCCTGTCTCAATAATAATATTATGTGCTCGTGTTTGGCGACAACGGATATAATCCGCCTTATCGGTTCATCGCATCGGAAACAAAAAAGCGAAAGAATTTGGAACGATGTTTTTACAATTATTTTATTCATTTGTATACAGTCAGTGTCAGTCGGTAACGCGTGAGTGAATAGTGGTGTCTGTTGCGTGGCTCAAACGAAATAAAAAATGGCACATGTTTATGCGGATCGGTTTCCCAATCGAGTGCAACCAACCCCTCGTGCCTTTGTTAATGTAGTACAACGGGCTTGTGAATCAGGTGACGGCATGCCGGTGCTCCAAGACCTCACGATCAAATACAGGTCCGCACTGAAATACTTGTCGGGAGGATACTTTATAAAACAAGGTAAAATTTTTTTTTATTTTTACACACATATTTTGGTTTATCTTCCTTCTATAATCATTATCTGAAAATTAATGACTCAACTTCAAAGTCACCCTGTATAACCAATCCAAAACTACATGAAAATCAACACGCACTGAATCTACAGAATTAAAAAGTTATTTTCTTCTGTAAAGGTTTGCAAGGCACTTTTGAGCACAATACTATCAATATCCAAGAAAGCATAGTTTCTGTTACACAAAATATGGCTTTTCAAATGAAATTCTTGAGCTTCCTATCCATTCTTTCATTAAATCATAGGGAAATAAATATCCTCATTGAACATTTGCAAACTTTATACCATAAAGATCATCTGTTAGATTTTGAAACAATGCACCCTTTTGAGATACTGAATCTTTGCGAACTATCAATTGTAACTTTGCGAAATGAATCATATTCGTAATTCATGTACCTCTTCTTGACCGTAAAAACTTACAGTGTTTTTGAATTGTATCCGTTAATTATAAGGAATGAATTAATAAAGATCCCAAGCAATTTTACTTTGTAATTTGAAGAAGAAAGATTTTGCTCCAATTTAATCAAACTAAGTAACAATCCGCATTTATGTTTTTAATTACTAAACAGGCACATGTAAGCCATCTATGTTGGAAAATTGTCCTCATATTCACTTAAAATACTATTAATACTAATATTTCAATTGATATTAAAGACTGCAAGCAGATTGAATTATCATTGCCTTTACTTGAAAGTAATTTTAGCTTTTTAAATCCTTCTTATTTCCAAAATCATTTGGAAATAATAGTTCATACTAAGTTGCAAAGCCTTTCTTACGACTCTTACAGCTTTGGAACCATATTGTAACTGTAAATTAAATTTTCTCTAAGTTGGAGACCAACTTTTCGTAGGAGGGAGGAGTTATGGAATCCTGTTGGTAACATAACTATGTGGTACAAGCCCATTATTCCAACAAATTGAATTGTATGGCAAGCAAGCCCATTAAGAAATATTTGCTTTTTACTTCTTTTTTTTTTTCGATACACCTCTGTTATTTTTCCTATAGATACTAGAATTATATCGAGGCACAGACAGATTTTGTTCAATACTTGTAACTACTCTTCGTTCCTGCAATAAAGTCTGTTATTTTTTTACCATACAACGTGTGCATTCTTTATCTTATATTATTAAACTAATTGGCTTGTATCTGTCTTATTAACCTGCTTAACTAGTTTAGGTGATTTAGTTTATGTAGAAAAGGTACATTTGAGACAATTAAACATTCTAATAAAAAATGTTTAACTGTCTATTTGAATCGTGGACTTGGCGCTTCATTCGTAAATGATCGGGAGTATGCGACAGAAGCAACGCCGGTGACGGGCTTCGAAGTTCCTCAGTTCAATTTGCGATTTTCGCTTTTGTATTGTTGTTGCCGTTGTTGATGTATAAGCTGTCGTGTGGATCAATTATGGTTATTAAGTGAAACACTCGATCATAAGGCGCTCAGTAACTCATAATCATGATCAGAATATTTCTCGCTCCAAATGAAACACTGTGTATAGGGGAATCACCGCTCACGTGAGGGAATGAGAAGAAAATTGAAGTTTTATTTATGCAGCCATAGTTATGTCAATATAGGGCATTTATTCCAAACATGTGCTTAGCATAAACTTTATATGCTTTTCTTTTATATTGTCAAATGTATATGCAGGGTGTTTCAAATTTGACCCTCACCACTGGGATCTCGGAAACAATAAGAGATACGAAATCGCTTAAAAAGAGGCAAAGTGGCATATTTAGGTAACTAACAAAATGCTGCTTAGGAAGTTTCGAAATTCAAAGTACTTCCAGAGAGAGACTGAAAAAATCGAAATTTCCCAAAATCGTTTTAATTTCTCCCTGACTTTAATTGTAGTGGGATTTTAAAATAAATTGCACATTAACATTGCCACTTTTTCTCCCCTACAAGACGGCATAGTTAGAATTTCAATACGACATTTCGTCTTCTGTCATCGAGCATCAACTTTATTTTTTCTTATAAACTCATATTGGATTTTTGCACGGATGAATAGAGTTTTCAATTCTGCTTCTAAAAATATGTATATAATAGGTACGTCATAAACTGACTTTGCCAAAAATTCGTTATTTCATAGAAGCAGAATTTCCTAGGTAGCCCTTGGATCAAGTAAACGGTTTAGTAAATTAGATTCAAGTAAGCTGCTTTGAGAATCAGAGTTTAAGCTTTTAAACTTGTTAGCTGTCACATAGTTGGTTATTTTTTTCAGTTGGCCTAATTAAAATTCTAATTGGTTTAATTAAATTATAGTGTATAAAACATTTGGGCATCATTTATAGTCACTATATTAATTAACTTGTTATTTTATGATGTAGTTTTTATATGTGGTCATTTGTAAGTATTATGTACGCCATTCGATAAATGAATAAATAAATGAAAGCAGACTAAAAAAACTTGAAAAACAGGTGTAATGAAAACAAAAGTGTCAAGCAACCCTCCGCCACTGCGACCTTGCAGCTGCTACAAGTAACCTTTCGATACGGTTCCCGTCGCGTCGTATCGTATTGCGGATTATAAATGTGACGCGCGTCAAATCCCCACAATGTCTGGAACAAAGGAAAATCACCTGCTTGCGCAACTCCCTCCCTTGCTTTATTACACAAGGGGACACTTGTTTCCCCGTGTTGCTGCGACGCTCGTTTGTCCCGGAATCGCGCCGCGTGGATGGATATCTTTTGACTTGACGCCCTGTTTTCCATAATTCACGTTATAACAAAACCACCGCGGGTAGTTGGGGCGTGATTGATCACATCATCCGTTCACTATAATGTATGACCGAGAAACCGTGACATACCGAGAATTTTTGGATGATTGTTCCAATAGGCTAGTTGACACTTTTTTTAAGTAGGTCTTAAATAGTTAATATTTGTTAATCAATTGTCCTAATTTTGTAGAGAATAAATTAAATGACGCTAAAGTCCATTCGACTCTAAATTGGATTGATTTTGGTAATATGAAACAGTGTATTCAGATTTGTAATTATAACATTAGAATTTTAAGTAGTAATATTGATTGTGTTGTATCTAATGATGATAATCCCCTAGTTAATGCAAATAGGTATCATCCATCCTTAATCAATATCCGTAAGCATATTGTAAAAGTAATAAGCATTTTCCAGTCAATAATCATCAAAAGCATTACAATGTCAGACATGCAAATTATATCTTATTATATAATAGTCTGTTAAATGTAGACTGGAATCTTTTAACAAATTAATATTACCGATACTAACGGTCGGGAACTTGTTTTTGTAATAAGCTTAATGATAAGTATCCCTTTTGGTATTCAAGTGAAATTATCAAAGGTTTAAAACAACAAGACAAATCTCATAGGTAGTTCAGCCGAACTAGATTTCTTCCCCATTATCAAGCGTTTAGTAGGCTTCGAGGAGTGTTCAAACAGAAAACTAGAGAGGAATATGCCGTAATAGTAATAATTTTATTTTGGCAAGGTGTAGCTTATATGAAAAATATGATGGTAATGAACACCAGAAAACATGGGTGCTACTTTGCGTTTGCGTTTTGAAAGTGAGTACTTTCCGTAGATGACAGCAGCATAACCTCTCAAACTTTTAGACTTCAACTAGCTTACATTAATTATACAGTAATTATCGTTATTGTGTCTTCGGAGAATGTAAAAAAACATCGATAAAGACCTCAGGAAAGCCATGGATTAGAGTGCACAGGGAAATAAATATACGCAACACTGTGTGTTGCTTGGAGCATACCTTATGTTCGGGACATATTTTACATTTTACTGTGCAGATTTTATCGTCTTGCTTAGGTTGGATATAACCTACAGCATCAACACCGTACGATTGTCTTGTGGATGTATAAGAAGAAATACAATGTCGGTTAAAATTATTCAGAGGTGACTCCTGAAAAGAAAGGTTACGTAAATGTATTACTTACCCTTTTTTTATGTCTATGATGTTCATCAACTTAGTAGAGCAGAAATCTGGGTTGAAGGACAAAATTACCAACCAGTCAATTTTCGACAAATTTGTGCTGCTTTTACGAATCCAACGTCCATAATTATTTTTTCAATAAAACGTGAAAACGATAACTTTTTACATGAATTAGAAGTTTTTTAGATACATCTAAAGAGTACCACTTTAGTCCACGAGCTGGAAAGTGTTTTTACCGTTTCATATTAAAATAAAATATACTTTGTTAGATTAGACCTATGCCGGGTGATTCTCCAAGGTGGCTCACCCCTATAACCTTTTTTATTATTGAAGATAGAAAAACTAAATTTGGGCGTTGCGTATTATAGATAAATTTCATTTTTGACATATTCACTTGCTTTGGCGTACTTCCGGTTTGACCGGAAACGACTCCAGCTTTCGATTTTTAAATGGGACAGAGAAGGACATTCTGAACTCAATAACGCCATATTTAAGAAATAAAGTCAATGTTATTTCAATTTTTATTTTTTATCTAGAATGCCATGGATCCTGTTAAACGCTTCATTTTTGATCAAGTAACACGGGAAAAATACGATTTTAAGGCGAACGACTTTACAGTCGTTTTAAAGATTTTGTAAATGTTACAAACACTAGTTTTCTCAATTTAGGTACTTGATTTTTTACACACACTACAAACTCTTATTTTATTTTCACTATTTTTCTGAATAATTTTAAGAAACGATCATACCTAAAAACAAACAATACGTATCTGCATTCGGTATAGCTATGCACTAAGTCCTTTTATTCTAGTTATCCGTGACAAACAAATTGAAGGTCTTGCTAGGGTTACTTCAACAAATACCTAATCTAGGTTATTAAAAAGACTGTTAGTTTTGAAAATTTATTTGTTACGCAGTTAATTTACAATGGAAAACTATACTAGAAACGAGAAAATTGACATAGTCTTGTTTTACGAGGAAGCAAGAAAAAATGCAAGTGAGGCAGCTCGAATTTATTCTCAGAGATTCCTTAATCGCCGCCATCCCACTTTTCTAAAACTGGAACAGACAATGCGAAATGAACCAGAAGAAAATGCCCATAACTTTATCGTCAGTGAAGAAAATAAATACTTTATTTTATGAAATTAGATATGAGTCAAGTAGTCTATTGAAATTGGTTAGTCATTTTTATGCCGACGGCACGCACTCAAGTTTTTTACAGAAACCTTTGAATACCCCCCCATCACTCTATTTTTAAAGATACAGCAACAATTGTCAAGCAAAAAAAGTTCACATTATCCTCAACTTTTAAGATCAGGATTTTTTTTTGTTAGGTTAATATAGCGGAATTCACTGAAACATCTCTTTTTAGATTCAAGATTACAGTTACGCCCCCTAGCTGCCATTTCAGAAACTTGAACATTTTTTCGCATTCTCAGTTGACCACCCTGTACAAAAAATGAGACAAATATCTTTGTGCATTGTGCATACATGCATGGGAAGTACAGTCAACCTACTTGACGCTGTTTTTCAAATAACCCAACCGCACGCTGCGCACGCCAAATTCGCGCTGATTCTCCAGAGTGACAT